ATATATATATATATATATATATATATATATATATATATATACACATTCAACTCTCATGCCTCTTTTGTAATTTTGCATTTTGTATCACTTTTATTTTGTGAATGATAGCTCCTATTTTAAGCATCGCGAAAACTTTAATATGTATAAATACTAATTAAATTTGAAAAGAAAATCCATATGCAAATACGGCAATATATATATACACACACACATAATCAAAATTCAAATAATTAAAACTTGTAAAATAACAAATGGTTCGTCGTTCGTTTTCCTCTTAATTTAATTATAAAAACATACTCGAATTATAGTGAATCGATCTATAATGAAACATTTGGATATATGATTTTGGAAAAAATGCTAAAATATATTCACGTTTGGCAAAGTATTAAAAGATGCATCGCAAATGGAACAAGAACTTTCACTTGTGTTCAAAGTTGTCTTAACCAAAAGGTCTTGTGCACTAAATATATATATAATATATCCACCAATAAATATTCTAAAAATAGCAATTTTGTTTATCTATTTAATGAATCCCAACAACCACATTGTAAAATGAGTTGGACTTTGCTCGAGTAAACGTTGACCATCGCATAAACCCCATTTTTTCCCAATAAATGAGATTGAATATATTTAATTTGATTAGGTAGTTCCTCTCAAATCTATTGTTGGGGTCCAAAGGAGTTTGAACTCATTTTACAACATTAAAAAATGAAAAAAATACGAAGAGCAGTGGAAAATAAAGTTGATTAGCCATAAGTGGGTGGCCGAGTGGCGAAAGGGTGTTACTCTCTGGATCCCGTTCGCCAGTTCGAAACCAGCTGATGGGGATGGAGGAGTGTATTTAAGGTGTTGCTCTCTAGACACTTAAATATACCCTAAAGGCTGCTTCCGGATTTAAGAGGATGTAGGTTGGGTCGAACGTTTAGGTGAACCTTTCGGTTATAAATAAAAAATAAAAAAATAAAAAAAAAGTTGATTCATACTTTGTAAATCTGTCTAAAGCATATAAAAAAATATAAATGTTATTAATTTTTAATATTGACAAGAATAAGTCAAATTAAAAAAAAGGAGAGAATAAGGACAATAACATGTGACTGTGAGTTATTTTTGCTTTGTATTTTCACTCTTCATCTCTCCTCTCTAACCTATAACACATTCCAAGCCCAACACGTGACCGATCTCTTGTCCATTTTCTCAACGTTAACTATTATATATACACATGCACATATTCGTTTATCTATATACGTGGATCTTATTATCATATAACTAATATATATATATATATATATATATATATATATATTAACGTAAAATCCATGCGACGTAATCTCGAATTGGGAAGATTGATTTGTCCAGGCGTGTCTTTGGACTGGGACGAATTTATGATAAATTGGGTCGATGATAAAGTTGTATCAAACAGGAAGTAACAAGAAGCCCGTTACCAAATCAATGATATGTCTCATCACAGCCATTGGATGTGATATATATCAAAGGGCTATATATATATAAGATGCGTTATATATATATATATATATATGTATATACATAATTATAATGATGGGTGGTGGGAGAGAGGGAAGATCTTCAAACTTGTACTTGATGGAAAATCTTCAAACTTCCATATGCAAAAATTTATATGATTGCCGCTTTCTTGGAGGAAAAAAGGATTAAAAAAGAGTAGAAATGTAAATGCTCAATGCATCCCATAAAACCCTTCACCACTATATTCAGCGCAAATATTAAAGCCGCATTTAATATATGTTGATATTTATGAATTTTAAATAAATTTTCGATCCCTATAATTACATCGACACCCACATTAAATAGACAGTCGCTACAACAGTAGAAAATGCCATATAGATTACAAGTTCGATTTAAAAAAAAAAAAAAAGACCGAATCTTAACCTAAAAAAGCAACAATGTTTTTTTTTTATAAAAAAAATGAGAAAAAATAGCGGTTATTCTGATGAGGAAAAGGCCTTTTTCCAATTACTACACACGCACCACGACGACCAATTTTGTCGGTGGCTCCGCCATAAATTTTATTTCCAACCATAATTATTGGTCCCATACATTTACATGCATATATTATAGTATATAATATTAATAATGGTTTTCTTTTTTGGAAATTGAGATGTATTATTACACTGGGCCTTTTGGACATTATTTTGGTGATGCGGTCTAGGCCCAACTCACAGCCAGTTAGGCCCATCTAATTAATTATGCAAAATTACGTATTTGACCAAAGCATTTAGAATTGGGGCCTAAAGGGCTCCACATTCAACGCAACAGGACTGGTGGTGTTGTTCCTTCTTCATCCTCGATAGGTCATTAGGGTTTTCGTTTGGTTCTCCATTAGGGTTTTAGTTACCTGCGAGGATGAGGAAGCTCAAGTTCCATGAGAAGAAGCTTCTGAAGAAAACGAATTTCTTGGAATGGAAGAGAGAACGCGGCCACCGGGAGAACCAGGTTATGCAGCGTTACCACGTCGTGGGCCGTGACGATTACAAAAAGTTGGTAAATTTATCGGTTAATCTCGTCGCAAAAATCATTCTTTTTTAACTTCTGGATTTGGGGTTCACACTTTTTACCTTCTGATTGATGTCGATTGTGTCGTTAAGTTCACGTATGGTTGAGTTTTGGCGAAGTGGGTAGCTCTTGTTTATCACGAACACGATGGGTTGCTGATTATCGAGCTCGTTTGGAATGGGTTTGCAGATATTCAGGTTTGTGTCGGACGGTGCAGAAGCTGACGAACATATTGAAACAAATGGATCATGCCGACCCTTTCAGGATTCAGATGACTGATATGCTCTTGGAGAAGCTGTGAGTGTTTTTTTTTACCTCTAGCGGATTGATTTGTAGATTGCCATGAATCTGTTGTTTCAATGTGAAAGTTACAAGTTATATACCTTCTTTCTTTTGCACTGGGTGTTAGCTCTGAGGGGACGAATCCTGAATTTATCCTGGGAAAAGGGCTGATCTGTTGCTTCTTCTTGTTGCTGCTCTTAGGTGTATGATAGATATTCTATGTGGTATGAATATCTATGGATGTAATCTGGGGAAGAGGGGAGATAAACTTGTGTTACTAGGTTTTAGTTAGTGTAGTTAGTGTGCTTCTACAGCTCAGGTTCTTTGTAGAACTGACTTACTATGTCGTTTTCTAGAAAGCAAAACTAGCCGATGGATTTGGAATCTGCTTATGTACGTTGATGGAGTACGTTTGTACTGGTTTTTTTTAGTGGCCAATTCAATTGGAGTAAATTCTCAGTGAAGTGATTTGATGATCATGCAGACTCTCTGTCTCAAGTTTAATCCATTTGTGACTGAGTGGCTTATGTTTCTTTCTTTCTTTATGTCAATTGCAGATACAACATGGGCGTAATACCAACCAGGAAAAGCTTAGCTTTATGCGATCGGTTATCAGTATCCTCGTTCTGTAGGTAAGAGTTTTCTCAGTTATCCGCATCTCTCTATGGTTCTTGTCCCTCCATTTGCATTTGAACTCGGCTACCGATATATGAGTGCCTGGAATCTCTTTCAGGCGTAGGCTATCCTCCGTGCTGGTTCACTTGAAGTATGCAGTGCATCTGAAAGAGGCTGTGACATACATAGAGCAGGGGCACATTCGTGTTGGACCCGACACGGTGACTGATCCAGCTTTCTTAGTCACTCGGAATATGGAAGATTTCATCACATGGGTCGATTCGTCGAAGATCAAGAGGAAGCTTCTGCAGTTCAATGATAAGTTGGATGACTATGACATGATGGCCTAAGAGGGGAGAAGACAGGAATATATCTGCTGTTATGTGGAATTGTCTTGTAGGAACTAAGGTTCAATGCTTGTATGCAGCGAACGCACAAGTGAGAGTGTACGGGATGATGTTATTCGTTACCTTATTTTATATAAAATTTTAAATTTCGCTACCTTAAAATAGCTGATAAAACGACCTACAAATACAGACAGAAATCTCAGAGCAAACAGACATGGCAGGAAAGCACCGGAAAACGTGGACAGAAACCATATGGATTGGCTCCTTTTGTTCCGATACAAAGTTTCAGTCTTTGCTCGCATCGATACAAACTCATCGCATTGTGTAATTCCACCGGACAACACATGAGCCAAGACGCTGAAGAAGGCATCAAATGCTGACTGGAGAGATCGCTTGACGAGTCCATGGCGTCGAGACAAGAAGAGAAGCTCTTTCGAGAAACCCACCCACCATTTCTTTCACGTTCAGAGACCTCTATTTCATTACGATCTCCCATGCTTCGAGCTCCACCGCAACCGGCGTTCCTTTCTTATCGCTCGAGAGTCTGGCCGGTGAATCAGAATTCTGGAGAAGACGATGTATACTATGTTTAGAGCGAGGTCGCTTTGTTATTATCAGAGGAGTTCAGGGGTATTTCTGTCTTTCTACATTCCTTTTATTTAAACGGTTCGCTCCTTCCCTCTTGGGTTTTTACCCAAATAACCCACTTGTTTCTAGCTATCTCAGCGTACGCCACCGAATATTTTTTTTTTTTTCAATTTTAACTTACTTTTCGATTGAAAAAGTCCGAAATACCCTTTTCGTTTTATTTTTTGCGATCTTATTACGACTAACATATAACTGATATATAACTAAAATAAGACAGATAATTTTTTTACCACTTTTTTTCGAATCAATTGTAACTATATTTAGAATTAATTACGAAGTCGTAACGGATAAATATCGTGTATTTATTAAGGATAATTTCGTCTTTTCAAAGAAAAAAAAATGTGTTATGTTTCTGGTGGTGTACACGTAGGGAAAATCACCCAAATAACCCACTTGGGTCCGAAATACCCTTTTCGGACTCAAGTGTACACCACCGAACAAAAAAAATTTCAATTTTAACCCACTTTTCGGTTGGAAAAGTCTGAAATACCCTTTTCATTTTATTTTTTACGACCTTATTACGACTAACATATAACTGATATATAACTAAAATAAGACAAATGATTTTTTTGCCATCCCTTTTAGAATCAATTGTAACTATATTTAGACTTAATTACGAAATCGTAATAACGAAGTTGTTTTCGAACGGATAAATATCGTAATTTATTAAAGGTAATTTTGTCTTTTCACAGAAAAAAAAATGTGTTATATTTTGGTGTACAGTTGAAATAGATGCTACAAGTGCTTATTTGGGTAAAAAACCCATACATGTAGATGCGACCCAAGTGATTTTCCCTCTTCTCTCCCTTGCGTTGATTTCTTCCTCCGACGGCGACGCCGGAGCCCGTTATAGAGAAACTTTTGGGTGGATCTCGGCGGCGTCGAAGATAAGTCGATGGAAGGAAAACCGAGGAAACTTCTGGTGCTGTACGCTTCTCAGACCGGAAACGCCCTCGATGCGGCGGAGCGAATCGGGCGGGAAGCTGAACGGCGAGGCTGCGCCGCATCTGTTGTATCCACCGACGAATTCGACCCGGTAGTGATATAGCCACCAGTGAATCGATTTTGATTGTGTTTGAAGTTACACTGGTTTTAGCATTGAATTCGGAGTTTACAAACACTTGAATTGTGAATTAGAAAGTGTTTGCCTTTGTTTTCTTCATCGTTTAGATGAATTCTTATCAAGTTAAGATTTTTTTTTTCTGCAGAGCTATTTACCTCATGAAGAGGCTGCAATTTTTGTTGTGTCCACTACAGGGCAAGGAGACCCTCCAGACTCTTTTAAGGTCTGATGATGATTTTGCAAGATACGTGCATGTATCTGTTTCTTCTTCACCAAAGATTTCAATTCTTGTGGCTAAATTGCATGTTCATCTTTTGTCGTACAGGCATTTTGGAGGTTTCTTCTCCAGAGAAATTTGGGAAAGACTTGGTTGCAAGGAGTTCGCTGTGCTGTGTTTGGACTTGGTGACTCTGGCTACCAGAAATACAATGTAAGTGCATTCCAGTTGTTGTCTCTCTATGCGCATTTGACCTTCTCGGCGGATAACGTTTTTAGGAACTACTGTTGAAAGTTCACTGTAATTCTGCCTATTGTGGGATATATACTTTTCTATCAAGGATTTTCCCCGTTGCAAGAAGCTATTTGTTTGTATGGTTTTTCCTCTGATGCACGAGATATATATTTAAAAAAAAGAGAGCTTATTTTGCTTTTCGATGCCTATAGTTTGTCGCAAAGAAGCTAGACAAAAGACTATCAGATCTTGGAGCCACCGCCATCATTGAAAGAGGTCTGGGGGATGATCAGCACCCATCAGGGTATGATGTCTAAGTAGGCCATGCTCTAAAGTTTGAATGTTGTTTTAATTTGTTAGTCTTTCTCCCCATAGTTGCAGTGGAGATGTTTCTATGGGTATTCAAACCTTTCAATGCTGTCCATGCTCTGCGTCTGATACAGGTATGAAGGATCTCTTGATCCGTGGATGCTATCTTTGTGGAGTACGTTACATCAAATTAATCCAAAGTATTTCCCGAAAGGTCCAGATGTGATGGTTGCTCAAGACAAACTAATTGATCAACCCAAATACCGGATCTTGTACCATAAGGCCGGGAACATGAGGCCTAGTTTTTTGGCAGAGTCAGGTATATCTAAGAGATATCATATATGTAAATACCATATTTCTTTTGACACTTTTGAGCAGTGAATAAATGAAAACTATTGATTATAGTTTGATTCTTGTTTTCTATCTCATTTAGCTCTTGAGCTGGATATATCCTGCATTATGACAGAATTGTGGTAGCATATCTTTTCTGTTTCCTTGTTGCTTTTTGGGTTCCTTGTCTTATACCAAGATGCTTCTAATGTTTTGGCAGATTTGAAGTACATTTCGATGCAAATAGAAAAGACCCGAGGAATGTCTCCTGGGAAGCTCTCTCGGGAGAAGAGTAAGCCAGACTGCTTTCTCAAGATGGTACGTTTATCCAATGGCCATTTTCTTGAAACTCTACTGGTTTTTGTTTGTGGACAGATCATTTCTCGGTTGTGGGCTTGTCTCTTATATTTATTGTGTGTTGCTGCTAGATCAAGTTTCAAGGCTTTCTGATATAATCAACTATTAATCTCCATTTTTTTCTGTACAATTCAGGTTTTAGCATGTCGTATTATGCTTATTGGTAGATAGTAACTTTTTTTTATGGATTATATTACATTAGCTTGCATTATCATTTCAATCATGTAGGCCAGAAATGAAATGTTGACTAAAGCTGGAAGCACAAAGGATGTTCGCCACTTTGAGTTCGAGTTTATTTCTTCAGTAAGTAGTTCGTTTACACTTACTCTTAAGGTAAAAGTCCAGTCTAAATTTTGATTTTGAGTGACAAGTCTAATCCTTCTTGGTTTTTCCACCCTTTAAGAATATCGAGTATGAAGTTGGTGATGTGGTTGAGCTTCTTCCAAGCCAGAATCCTGCAGCAGTAGAAGCATTCATAAAACGATGTGAGTTGGACCCGGAGTCATTCATCACCGTAAGTGGCCTTTTCAAGTTGCCTGTGGATATGTGTGTTTAAGGCTCAAGAGGAAGGGGCAGTGGACTGCTTCCCCTCTGTTTACTTGAAATCAATAACATGTGATCTCTGATCACATCATAAATGCTAAAGTTCTCTTTTTTCTTCAGATTCATCCGAGAGAGACGGATAATGGTCTTGATGGAGAAGTACTTACAGAGTTCCCGGTCAAGCTTAAAACTTTTGTTGAGTTTGCTATGGATGTGGCATCGGCGTCTCCTCGACGATACTTCTTCGAGGCTAGAACTCTCTGACCATATTGCTCCCGAGTTTCATAAATTGTTTTTGGTAAATCGCCAAGATATATTGAGAAAGGGACCTTACTTTGTTAAACACGTGATAGAGATGGATTTGACTGAAAATTGTCATTATCCCCTTGTAATGTACTTCAGTTACGTGTAGTTGTGGTTTTTGATGATTGGACCATGCTTTTTCCAGGTTATGAGCTTCTATGCTACAGCAGAGCACGAGAAGGAGAGACTTCAGTACTTTGCTTCAGCCGAAGGGAGGGATGATCTTTACAAATACAATCAGAAGGAAAGAAGAAGTGTCCTCGAGGTAAAATGACTTCTGTCTTGTTCTTTGTACTGCGCTTGAAAAAGGTTGTACATTTCTGATCAACGTCGAAAAAAATGAGATGGAGTAGTAAACAACAGGGATCACGGATACTGGGCTTTTTCCGTATAATTTATACTCGCGCATGCACTCATCCTGTTCATTAAGAAATTGGTCACTAGCCTTACCAACAGTCTGCTTTTCATGATATTGGTATGTTTGTGGATATAGGTGCTTGAGGATTTCCCTTCTGTTCAAATCCCTTTTGAGTGGCTAGTGCAGTTGGTCCCTCCATTAAAACCGAGAGCTTTTTCGATCTCTTCGTCTCCTTCAGCGCATCCGGGCCAAGTGCATTTGACTGTAAGCATAGTATCATGGACCACACCGTACAAGAGAGTACGAAAAGGTCTTTGCTCCTCATGGCTAGCAAGCCTAAACCCTGAAAAAGGTTAGGACTTTCACTTCTCCCCCCAGAAACTTGCAATGGTTTCTCTCGATTCGTATTTGGATGGTAGACAGGATTGGAAGAACGAAAGAAATCATGCCTTCTTGTTATAGTTTTCTGTACTGAATGATTTTGATCCCAAACCCTGGTTTAAGGTCCTTAAGCCCGATGTAAGCCGTTATATTCTGCTGTGGTCAGGGGTTTACGTCCCGGCTTGGTTTCACAAGGGCTGCCTTCCTGCTCCACCAACACAGCTACCAATCATCCTGGTGGGACCTGGCACTGGCTGTGCCCCTTTCCGGGGATTCATAGCCGAAAGAGCCGTACAATCCCTCTCTGGCCCAACTGCTCCGGTCATCTTCTTTTTCGGCTGCAGGAACAAAGACACCGACTTCCTCTACCGAGACTTTTGGGAATCCCAATCCCGAAACAGTGTCTCGGGAGGAGTACTATCGGAAGAAAAAGGAGGCGGATTTTACGCGGCCTTCTCGAGGGACCAGCCGAAGAAGGTGTACGTGCAGCACAAGATCAGGGAACAGAGGAAGAAGGTGTGGGAGTTGCTTCGGGATGGCGGGGCTGCGGTCTACGTGGCTGGTTCATCGACGAAAATGCCGGCAGACGTGATGGCGGCGTTGGAGGAGATTGTGGCGGAGGAGACCGGAGGGTCGAAGGCGGATGCCGAGAGGTGGCTCAGGGCCCTTGAGAAGGCTGGTAGATACCATGTCGAAGCCTGGTCTTAGTAACTTAGAAAAAAGCCTTTTATTTTTCATGTATATGTACCATCCATCTGTTTATTCTGTTTTCGTTTTGATTTATAGAAATTAGCAACCATAGTTTTCGAGGTCAGTTTTTTTTATTGTTTTTAAATTTTATTATTTTGACATCATAAAAAATATTAATTGAGGTTTTAGGTGTGTTGCGAATAATTTATTCATGAAATTTTATGAATTTGTTACGGAAAGTATAATCTGAGAAGAGAAAAAACAATTAAAAAGTCTAATTGAAAACCCTGAAGTGATTTTGCAGGTGAAAATAGAGCATAGCAAAAGGTTGTTTCATGAAACTCGAAAGCCTTGTGACCCGACCCGAAACCTCAGAAGTTCTTAAACCCTCTCTCTCTCTCTCTCTCTCTCTCTCTCTCTCTCTCTCTCTGAGGAGCTTGAGCTTCAATGGCGGTTCAATTAAACCATTACTCCTCTTCCGGCATCAAGATTGCTTCGCCTTCTCACACCTTCTCCTCGAAACCCTCAGCCCGTGTCCCTGTTTCAACGAATTCCAGATCTTTACCCTCGCTCTCGTGCTCCTTTCCGAATCCTGGTAAAAACTCGGCCATACTCTCCGGCTTCAACGTCGGAGTATACGCATCGTCATCTCCCGCGGATCCGATCGTCTCAGATGAACTCTCAGGCTCTGATTCTCCGTCTCCCAAAAAGGTCAGAGATCGGTCACCGATTCTCCTCCCCTCTCGGTTGATACTTGAAATCTGTGTGGCAGTTTTGTCATCCGCATGCTTGTTTTCCGAGAAAACGTGGAAAGACGCGAAATTTGAAGCACATTAGAGCGTATGATGATCGGTTTTTCCATTTTCCTGTCATTTGAATCGTGCTCCTTCCCGTTATGCTACCGTTTCCTGGGCATCCAACCAGGCGGTTTCAATGTGTTCCCAGTTTCTGTCATGTCTGAGCATCTAAACAGACATCGGATCGGATATATGTGCACCAGATACATGTCCATAGGCATACATACATGTTCTTATATTTTCTGAGATGGGCATTGAAACCTGCACACCATGAATCCATATGTATATACCTCAGAACTCTATATGCATCATTGTGATGCCACATTTCATTGATTCTTGATCCAATGCCGGCGTTTCTTTCTACTGCAGAAGAAGCTGCGTGCAGTGGTGAAGCCGCTCGAGAAACCAAGACTGGTGCTGAAGTTCTTGTGGATGCAAAAGGACATTGGGATCGGGCTGGACCAAATGGTTGACGGCTATGGGACCATCCCTCTGAGTCCGTACTACTTCTGGCCGAGGAAAGATGCTTGGGAAGAGCTCAAGGTCTTGTTGGAGAGCAAGCCATGGATATCCAATGCTCATCGTGTCTTCCTCCTCAACCAGGCTACCGAAATCATCAACCTCTGGCAGTCCGGCGGTGGAGGTTTACCCTGATGGATGGATATGGATCCGCTGTTCTTCAGTGACGCCATTAAAACTTCTTGGTTTTGGTAGAATGGTGACCAGGTTGCTTTCATACATGCAATGTTCAAGTTTTGTTCTATGGCATCATCGTTCAAACATGAATCAAATGGGACCATATCGGAAAGAGCAAGAGATTCAATTGATCTTGAGACAGGTAACAATCCAAAGATTTGCAGTTTTATCTTCCCTAACTCACAGAATCTATCAAGGAACCTTACAACAGCAGAAGTTCATCAGAGATCGATTGATTCCACATACGAAAAAAAAGGCCTAATAAAGTCGGAAGCTTTGATCAAAACACGAATGTGGACAGATCAATCGAAGTACTTAGCCATCTGAATCTCCTTCTGCTTCAACCCGCACTTCTCGTAGAACGCCTTGTTCTCAGCACTGCAATCGAGAATCGCTTTGTAGCAACCCATCGATCGGCAATGATCCATCAGATGATCGATCACTTTCTTCCCCAGTTGTTTCCCGCGATATCCCGAATCCACCACCACGTCTTCGATGTGCCCAACTTTCCCGCACTTCCTCACGAACTTCTTCTCTATCATCACGCTTCCTGTCGCCACGATTTTCTCCAACATCTCGTCTTCGATCACGCAGATCGCGTGGTCGTCTCCGTACGACCCGATCTCCTCGAACCGCCTATCGAATTCCTCGTCGGAGACGGATCCGGTGACCGTCAGTTGACCCAGGAGCTCGATGAAACCCTTTCTCTTGTCGGAGATCTCCAGTTTCCGGACCCTGAACGTCTGGTTTTCTCCATTGGAATTAGGGTTTTCCATTTCTTGCCCAGGAATTACTGAATTGATTCTTCGTGGAAGAAGATCAAGATAGAAAACCAGAGGAATCTTGTTCGAGTTCGACGAGAATGGAGGAAACTGAAGAAGCCGTGGAATGGGCTCAATTCTAAATCATCCACGCTTCAACAAATAGGCCCGGCCCTCTAGAACCCAACGGTTAAGGGAAACATTTCCGGTTATTTCCGGTTTTAGCAAACCGGGTAGTTATGAGCTCTGATCCGTTTAATTCAGCACAAAAAGGCAAAAACAATACTCAAAATAATTCCAACAAACAAAGTTACAAAGTTTATTCCAATTACAAACTACAACACAAGAAATCAAAAGAGGAACATGAGGAATATGGCATATATATAAAGGAAATTATCAAACATAAAAGAGAATCATTACATAGAAAAAGCATACGTGTACATATATATATATATATATATATATGGAACTGTAAAACCATGGCTTAAGGGTGTTTATAAAAAGAACGTGAGGCCGGAGGGATACCGGGGAAGATGGGAGGGAGTGGAATCGGGAGAGAAGGAGGAGGTGAAGGAGGAGGATTTAACCCCGGAACTGGTGGAAGGGTAGGAATTGAAGGGAGAGGAGGGAGCAACGGGGCAGGAGGCGGTTGAAACGGGAGCGGGGGAAGGCCCGAGGGCGGTGGGAGTAACGGGTTCGGAGGAAGGAGAGACGGCGGAGGGAGAAAAGGGATTGGAGGAAAGAAGAAATCGGGTTGTGCATCGGGTTTCTTGACTCCCAAGGAATCTACTTTCTTGTTCTGCAAGGAAACTGGGTTCGGGGGAAGTGGGGGAAGAGAAGGAAGAGGAGGGAGGGAAGGGAGAGGAGGCAATGGAGGAAGTGAAGGAAGGAACGGAATAGGAGAAGGGTCGGGAAGGGCAGGAGGAAACGCAGGGTCGGGTAAGGAGGAAGTCTCGGAATTCTTGAGGCCGATCGGTTTCTGGCTGCAGATTTCGGGCCGATTTTCTGGTTTGAACGTGAAAAAACCCGCGGAGAAGACTCGGGTTTCATGATGTCTGTATTTAAGACGTCGGAGAGAAGACGAAGAAGCGGAAGAAGCGATGGAACAGTAAGGTTCAGAGCTGGTCAGCAATTTAACAGAACATCTCTTGATGTTCTTCACATGTTTGCTGACAGAGAAAGGCAACTTAACCCTGAACTTGCCGTCTTCATCTGTCTTCACTTCTTGTCTGAAACTCGGCTTCGAGTACTCGTCTATGCACTGCACCTCAACTGAAGCACCTGCAAATTCAGCAAAAAAGAAAGGATAATTTTCCGTTATTCTTACAGTTGGGTAACCAAACCAGGTTAAAGCACAAAAGATTAATACCAAAACCAGGTTGATAACGATGGCAATAAGAAACTGACAAGAATCAGAACATGGATTAGAATCTTGGTGTAATTAAGAAAGTCGTATTGTTTCAGTTCCGGTTCTTGCTTTCCTTGTCGTAGACCAGGTTGTGCCAATGTGTTCAAGAATCCAAACAAAGAGAGACAGAGACCTGAAATGAAGTGGCTGGAAGACTTGGAGAAAACATCCATGAAACAAGTGTCGCAGTAGACAGTTCCGACAACAACTGCAGAAGAACGTTTCTTGTTCATGGGCTGCTGTTGATGATGGTGTTTCTCTGACAGACCGCCGTCGACGATTCCTAAACATATCACCAGAACCAGCCACACCCTTTTCGCCATTTCTTCCATTATTGTATATATATATATCGGCGTTTCAGTTTTCAGCCTCTCCCTCTCTGTGTTTTGTGGGTTTGAGAGAAGAAGAGGTTATGGAGAAATTGTGGGGTTTTATAGAGTGAGTTGCATAAAACGAAAAGAAAGGGCGAAAGCTTATCTCCTCTTTTATGTGATTCATGCAAATACAAGTGAGCTCCAAACTACAATGTCCCTTGTGAATGTATTATTTCCTCTCTCTCTCTCTCTCTCTCTCTCTCTCTCTCTCTCTCACATTTGCTTTTTATGTAGATCAGATTATCAATATGTATCGTTTATATATACATACATACATATGTTCTAAAGTGCAACGATATGGAACAGCATGCAAATATAGTTTTGATATAGTAATCACTCAGCTATATATACACACACACACCAATAACATGATTTCCAACTTTATATGTACATGTATATGTATATATAACATTAGCATAAAAATGTCTTTATCATGATTTCCATAAAATAACGTTGACAACCTTCCAAACTCTATTATCAATTGAAACATAGGTTTTACACTGATCATCAAGCTGTGTACTAATAGTATATATATGTGTATATATATATATATATAATACAAGAGAAGAAAACAAAGGCATTTAAAGGGGGGGGTGTGAGTGTAGGGTTGTGGGAATGAGGACAGAGGGGGAGAAGTTGCTGTCGGTTCACGAGGTTGTGAAGAAGACCACACACACATATCAAACCAAATTCTACCTTCTGTCTTTATATATACACACATATATATATATATATACAATTAATATTCAATAACCATTCTGTGATAAAGACAAAAGTAAAAACACAAGAATGTGAATGTTCTCCTTCTTTTTATACTTATTTATTTATTTTAATTATTATTATAAATACCGCCGTATGAGGCTCAAATTTTCTTTTTGGTTGCTTCATAATTTCTGGAAATTACCACCAGCTCACGAGACCATTCCTTTAAAAAATAGAATTTATATTTTCCATTCCACCGGTATTTTTTTCCACGCGCCAGAGGTAAAACAATAAAATATATTCTTAATTTTTAGACCAGATAATAATTGAATTAGACAGGCTAACTCCCAATGGCTAAAGTCATTTCTTACAAAAAATTAGGTTTTTCGGTTACATTTCCTGCATTTTCGATTTGGTTGGATATAATTCGATTCGATACAACACTGAAAGCATTATAAATAAATATAAAATTGTTTAATATCAATTTTCTGGTGGCCATTGAAGTTTCCTATCCATAATTTGGATTAATAGAAGGTTAATAAATTAATATATCTTATTATGCATTTCATGCTTATAAAAAAAAACCCACAAAGAACTAAAAAAAATAAAAGATATTGGGCCAACAAGGGGGAATCAGGTAAAACCCAATTCATGTTGGATCTCTTTGAGTTGGGCCTCGTTTTAAGCCCTTCTCTCCACAGCCCATATTTGTGACTTTTGGACCATCAATTACTAAATTTAAAATGTTTGAAAATTTATTTCCTTTTTTTTTTTTTACATGTGAAGAAGATTGATAAAAGTTACACTTGCCCGAACAAAAGATGTAACAAAACTTTTTTTTTTATGGTGATTTAAGCTCAAATGCAGTATATTAAGGATTTTTCAATTGGTATTATATTTACACGTATATATACATATATTACACTGTATATATAGTCGGGAATATTTTTGGCACCAAAGAAAAAACAAAATGTTTTTTTTTTTAAAACAAAGAAAAGGGTCAAGTCATCGTTAAGTCTTCCAATGGGATCCGACAGCGCACCCAACCCAAACTACACGACAACTACACATTTACACACTGTCTGCTCGTTTCATCGCTTTCCCGCGAGCTTCCTTCTCGCCGACGGGAAAAAAAAATTTAAAGAAATTCTCTAAAACTCTGCTTCTGAGTTTTCTTGGAATCTCAACGAATTTCGATTTTCATCTTTTAAAAATTGAAACCTCACCCGTCTTGGGTCCCTCGCTGGTTTCTTGTCTCCATCTTCGCCTCGTCTCGTCTCGGTTTCAATCCGTCGAAGGTACACTTTTCTTCCG